CAGGACTCAGAAAACGTGTGCTAAGTGAAAGAATAAATCCTCAGGTTTCTAAGTTCAAAATTTTGATAATGTGGAGCCCTTGGAAAACTCTACAATCAGGTTTGATAGCACCTCTATTGACATTTGGGGCTGGGGAATTTTTTGTTGTAGGGTGCTGTTCTGTGCATGGTAATATGTTTAGCAGCATCTGCGTGTTTCCCACCCACTGGATGCCAATAGCAGCCTTTGCACATACACCCTCCTGACCCCAGTTAAGAGGGTGAAAAATACCTCCAGACATTGCCAAACGTCCCCTACAGGAGGAAACCACTCCCCATTGAGAACCACTGCTCTATATCAATAGTTCTCAAACCTGGCTACCCACTTAGACTTACCTAGATGTTTAGACTCAGCCTTGAAGTCAGGGGAACTGAGATCCAAATCCTGGCTCTGCCTCTTACTTTGTAACCCTGGGCAAGTTGCTTAACTTTTCAGAGCCTCAGTTTTATCATCTGAATATGAATAAAATACTACTTAGCATACAGAATTGTGTGAAGATTAAATGATCTATAATGTGCACCTAGTAAGGCCTCAATAAATGGACTGAGCAGAATTTCTAAGTAGCTCCTAGAGCACAAGGGCAATGGACTGGGGAAAGCTCCATGTGCCTCCAGGTGGTGCGATTACAAACCACATTGGATCTGAGGTGCCAGCCTAATTCCTGCAACACCTGATGAAGTCTGGGTAGAGGAAATGACACTCCTCACCTACCCCCCAAAATAAAATCTGATCTAACTTTATCTCTTAAAATAACTACATACATGCCCAATATGCCTTTCACAGAAGAGGGGGAAAATAGATGAGAATATAAGAGAATGTTAGGAAATAAATTACTTATAGTAATAGATTGCTCCTGACTTGTAATATTACTTATTAATTATAAAATTACTTTTGATAATACCTGACATGTGTTAAGTTATCCTACCTTGCAGGCATTATTCTAAGCACTTCATGCATATCACCTCATTCTGTCCTCAAAGAAATTTAACATATTTTTTATTTTTATTTTTCAAACTTAAAAAATGTAAAAGTAATCAGAATCCAATATATCCTTCATTCAGTTTTTTTCAAATAACTGTAGAATATTTTTCAAATATCCTACATAGCCATAATACAGTTATCAAAACCAGGAAATTTGCTTGATGCAAGGCTATTAACTAATGTACAAATATTCAAATTTTGTCAATCATCCCATTAATGTCCTTTTCATGGTCCAGAATCCATCCTGGGATCGGACACTCAATAAAGTTATCACGTCTCCTTGGTCTCCTCCAATCTAGGGTAGTTTCTCAGCCTTCTTGTCTTTCATCACCTTGACACTTTTGCACAGTGCTGGTCAGTTATTTTGTGGAATGTCCCTCAATTTGGGTTTGTCTGATGTTTCCTCAGGATTAAGCTCAGATTATGCATTTTTGGCAAAAATACTGCAGAAGTGATGTGTGCCTTCTCGGTGCATCCCATCAGATGACCCTTGATAGTGATTACTCTCATTACTGGTGATGTTAACTTTTAACACTTGGTTAAGGGAGTGTCAGCCAGGTTTCTCTACTGTAAAGTTACTACTTTTCCCATTGTAATTAGTAAGGATCTTCTGGAGAGAGACTCTGAGACTATGCAAATAGCCTGTTTCCTCTCATCATACTTTTGCCCATTAATTTTTAAGATCCATTGATGATTCTTGCCTACAAGTATTACTATAGTGTTCGCCAAATGGTGATTTTCTATTTGTATCATTCCTTCTATATTTATTAGTTGGGATTCTACTCTAAGAAAGAGCTGCTCCTTCTCTCCTATTTACTTATTTACTTACTTAATTATTTATTTGCAGAAGTAAAGACTCATGAATATTTGTGCATTATGATGCGGGGTCAGCGAGCCGAGGAGTCAAAAGAAAGATTTCTTGGACTGTCAAGGTCTGGCAGTAGTGCTCTTCTATTTAGCCAATAGTGTGGAATAGCATGGACACAGGACCCATGGGCAGTAAAGAGCTGCTGCAAACGTGGGTTGAGGGTAGGGCCAAATTTAAGGCATAGGTATGTGAGTTATCTCTTTACAAGACAAAGGAAAGAATATGTAAAAAAACGTTGTTAAAATGGTATCAGTGCAGGTGGGGTCTGGTTACTGGCTGGTCCCATAATTTTTAGATAAGAATCAAACCAGATTAAGTAAATGGCTGAAGCCAGCACCTTAAATATTATTTTTAGCTAAAGACAAAGGAGGATGTTGAGGGTGGAGGAGGAGCCTATCATGGGAGATGACCACACAAGTACAGTAAACCAGATGCAGATTTAGGTCCTTGCCTTTGGCATTGATTAAGAGTTTCTAGAGATAAGGTCATCTCTCCTTCTTCCTGGTACAGAGAGGGAGCCACCTTTACAGATGGAGATCTCCTTTACAATGTCAATGTCTCCTAACAAAGGGTAAGTAAATTCTACTCCTCAGAGCCTCCTTCCCATCTGCAGTTTATAAAAGTAACCAGCCCAAAATAATCCTCATCACATTATAATCCAGCAGGAGCCTAGAACCCAACAAAAATCTGCTTTGCTGCAGGAATTTCTTGCTCCACAGGAGCCTGCACCACAGCAATCACCTCCCACCCAAAGTGTGCCCTGTACTCAACAGGAAGCTGCCTTGCAGCAGAAGCGTGGGCCAGGCATAGAATCTAGAAGTTAATAGGAACCACACTTGAGAGAGGGATGTGCAGCCCAGCCAGGACCTGGCCCAGGAGAGCCACCTCTAGCTCAGCAAGAAGCTGGATCAACACCTTCAGCCCAGCCTAGACCTAGACCCCAAAATGGACCACCGGTCAAGATTGGATTTACGGCCCAAGAGAGACTAGGACAGTCAGACCCACAAGCCAGCCAACAGCTCCAGCCCAGGGAGCCAGACCCCAGCAGGCATCTTTGATGGAATGGAGATTTCTATCAGAACTGCACCAACTAATCTCACAGCAGCCGGCTTCAGAGCGGAAGACATGTTTTGAGTAGGTCACAGATCCAGTCTCAAAATTAGACTTGGGGTCTCCGTTAGGCGTTGACTTGCCAGCTATGAGGGGTAGGACAGTGGCCCAGGGAATGAAGCTGGCTTTCAAGGGGAAGCCTGGATATGGAGTGATGTCAGGATATGGTGGGACATCAGCACACAGGAAGAACAGCCTCAGCCAGAATCACAGACACTATGGAGACACGGGTGAGTCTGAGCCTGGGGGACAGGGAGCCTCCCAGGACAGTCATTCATTAAGTTAGGGACCTCCAGTATGTTAGCTCAGGTGATCCCTCCCCAGTCCTGCCAGACAAAGAGCCCCAGCCCCATCGATGGAGGAGGAAGCTGACACCTAGAGAAGAGAAGGCTGTGCCTGAGGCCGGGCAGTGAGGGAGCGGCCCAGCCAGGACCCAAGCCAGGGTGGGACTTCTTCCCCTGCACCAGGCTGCCCCCCACGGAGGATTGGGGGGCAATCACACAGAAGTGGGCAAGGGCTCCGGGCTGGGGGCCAGGAAACCAGGGAAGCTGCCCTCCTGCCAGTATTCACCCACCCGTCCCCAAACCACCCAGCACAGCCCTGTGCAGACACCGCCACAGGCACTGGCAACACAGGCTGACGCAGACCCTTACCCTCGGGGGTTCCGTCCTGACTTAGGATCCTGAGCTCCCAGGAAGACACCGCTCCCCGGCCAGGCTGCCCCCCAGGGGAGTCGCAGGCCAGCCAGGCCTCATGGCCTTGGGGGCGTTCTCAGGAAGGGAGCCTGCGAGAGGGGCTGTGGGGTCCGCCAAAGTCCGGGCAAGGTCGGGGCTGGATGGAGGGGGCAGCGGAGGCGGGGGACGGGCCAGGACTCGGCGGCCGCCAGCTCTCCCTCCCCTCCTCCGAAGCGGGCAGGGGCCCGGCGGTGCAGGCTCAGCTCCCGCTCAGGCCCCGACCTTCCTTCCCTGGGCTCAGAAGCCCGCCATGCAGAAGGCAGGCGCGCAAGTTCCATCCGCGGACAGAGGGGTCCCTCGTTGAAGCGGCCTGAGGGCAAACAGGGCAGCCCAGTCCGGCGAGTCCGCAGGCCGCCATGCTGCTCTCGCCGAGGCCTGTCCTCCCGGAAGGGCTGCGTCTCTGAGGGCGGAGGAGAAGTCGGAACGGGAGTCTCTCAGGGCTGCTCGCCGGCTTTGCGAGGGCGGGGAGGAGGGTCAGGAGGGAAAGAGGGTCCCAGTTTGGCTTTTTCCGGCGGTGACGATGAAGAGCTATTTCTCTAGGCCTCCAGAACCCAGCGTCTAGGGACGCCCTCTCCACAGCGCCGCCACAGACCAAACCACCTCTGCCGGCGCCCAAGACGCAGTTGACTGTGTGCGCATGCGCGGACCACGAACATCATTTCTGTCCGCCTTTCCCAGGCACGTGCCTTTCCCTCCTCCAGGCCTCCTCAGCTGACCAGGTTGAGGCTCCGGGCTAGTGCGCAGGCGCCGATCATTCTTTCCCCACCCTTTCATCTCCTGGAGAGCGGAGAGCGAGAGCGCAAAGAACCCAGGGAAACTCTTATAGGAAAACTAAGAGACAACGTGCGGGAGAAGGCGGGGCTTCCTCCTCCGAAGGCTCGCAGGCAGAGCGCCACGCCTCCAGTGTTGGCGCCCCGCCTCGCCCTTTTCCTTTGGAATATCTTTGCTCTCTGGATCCTTCTGGCAGTTCGGGTGGCTTTGTAAAGAATCTCTTCCCGGGAAGGTGAGTGGGAATGCGATGCTGAGCGTCAGCACCTGGGAACGTCTAGGCTACCCTTCTGGGGTAACCCCCTCGAGACTTCCCGCTAGTTTGCCTGAAGGACAGTCTTCGCAGCCTCCCGGGCTGTATTTTTTTTGGTCTGGGGCCCTTTAATGCATGTGAGGGGGCGTGGCCAGGCCGTAGGACCTAACGGTTGGGGGCGGGGCCCGGCGGTAGAGTGAGGCCCAGATTGCTCAGGGGGCGGGACCCAGAGAGGAGCGAGCCCAGGATTGGGTGATATGGGGGCCCGGCGGTGGAGTGTAGCAGGGATTCGCCCTCGGGGCGGGGCCTGGAGGCTGGAGTTGGCCCCGCGCAGGGACCACGGATAGGTGAGGCAGTTCGTCAGGGAAACCGGACCCGCCTCAGCCGGGAGCAGGTAGGGAACTGAGGAGAACAGGCAGCCCCCCTCCCCAGGACTCCCCACTAGACGCCCTCCCGCCTCTCTCTGCTCACACCCGCCCGTCATCCTGTCTCTCTGAGCACATCCGCTGTGTGGGGTGATGTCCAGGCAGGCCGCCCCAACCTCACCTGCCTCCTCGTCCCCCACCCCCAGGACAGCGAGGAGCTCAGCAGCCTGGGTCAGACTGAGGAAGTCTGAGGGTCCGCGGAGCCTAGAGCTTCGGCCATGCCCCTAGCAGGCATCCCGCTCGCGGTCCTTGGAGGTGCACATCCATGGCTGTGGCTTCATGGCCTAGACCTCCAATTCCCATGAGCCCTACCTCAAGAGCTGGTATCCTCTCCATCCACTACTCTCTGGCCCCCGAGGCCCCCTTCCGCCATCTGCTGGAGGAGTGCTTCTATGCATACTGCTGGGCCTTCCAGCACTGCACCTTTCTTGGTGAACGCCAGCCCCTCACTGAAACCCGCTCTGGCTTGCTGCCCCAGCCTGCTTAAGCCCCTACCCATCAGGCAGGGGGAATGAGCTATCTAGTGGCTAAAGCCTCAGCCTTGCACCCCAGCCTCCCCTTCCCATTTCCTACCACCCAGCCCTCTGCCATCTATTTGCCCCCCACCCCCCACCTCAGCGCTTTCCCCCACTGCCCCACTGCTCACCCAACCTTCCATCTCAACCACTTCCTCCTCTGCCTCCTGCTCCCCCACTCCAGCCCTGATGCTCCATCCCCTCCACCTCTCCATCTCCTCTGACCTTGTCTGTCCTCCTCCTGTTTCTCCAAGCCCTGCTGTCCGCACTGGTCCAACTCCAGCCCATTCTTCTAGCTCCTCTGACCTCTGACTCCCGACATCTTGGGAGGCACAGAGCAGGGTGGGGCCACACCCCAGGGCACAGGGCCTGTGGCCCTTCAGTGCTGTCAGCCTGAATCCTGGCCTTCCATCTCCTGGCCTCAGATGCCTGGCCTTCTGAAATGGCCCTTAGTCTCTCCTTTCCCACCACCCATCCTCCTTGCTTCTGACTTCCAGCCTCCCAAGCTTCCCCAGAGCTTCCCGATCTCCAGGCCTCTCCATGTCCTAAGTCAGCCTGATCCTCCGACCACTGTCCTCCAGATGGGTCCAAATCCTTCCCTCGGTTTACCCAGTCTCTAAAATTGCAGTTGGCTAGACCTTGGGGTTGGGGCCCCAGACCCCACCTCTGAGAGCCCAGGGCTCCTGGCCCAGAGTTCCAGTTCCTCCCTGCCAGGTGTGGGCCCCTCCAAACCAGGCCCACTAGGTTAGGGAATATGCCTCACCGGGGACAGTACAGGAGGGAACCTCTGCTTCACCATGTGCCTATGGGCTGTGGGTGCCATATGGCGTCATGGCAACCTACTCTGCTACAGTGCTGTGGTCTACCACATCTCCCTCCCAACTTCTGAGCCTCATGGACCCCCTGCTGCCCCTCAGCGTGCTCTTCAAATGTGTCAGTGCCTATGGTGGTAAGGTCCACACCCACAGAGCTGGGGGCCTGGCGGTGCTTGGATGCCTGGGTCCGGCAGGGACAGGGGCTACAGCCCAGTCTCCTGGGTCTGAGGGAGGAGGGGCTGAGGAGAGGAATCTGAGACTCCTTGTTCCTACTGAACTGAGCAGATATTCTTTGGTCCCTGGGGGCACAGATGCTTGATGTTCTGGGCGTTGAGAAGGGCCCCAGAAAGAAAAGAGACCAACTCAGCCCCCCACATACACTCCACAGGTGGGAAGACAGAGGACCACTCTGACTCGAACCAGAAGGCACAGGGCATGATGGGGCTGGTGCGGCGGACACAGCTCTGCTCTTCCGAGACCTGAACCTGGGCACCTCCTCATGGCTCAACTCTTTCCGGGAGCTGGGAAGGCACAGGTCTCACAGGAGCTCAATGCTCATGGCAGGTAAGTGAAGCACTCCCCTCATGTACCCATCCAGACTGACCAGGAGGGACAGCCTGGCACACCAGAAGTCCTGGGGGAGAATAGGAGCCGTGGCTGGGGCACTCAGGGAAGCAGAGATCACCTACCGGGCTCTACCCTATATCTATCCCTGGTTCCTACCACAAAGCCTCGATTTGCCACCCTGTCCACACCTGGAAACCTCAGGACTTCTGGTGCCCCAGGTCATCTCGGAGTCCAAGAAACTATAGGATTTAGCTTTCCAAACAGCCTCTCCCAGAAAGGCAAACTGGGAAATGACTAAGAAGGCCTGCCACATATCTGAATTTTCAGTCCCCAAAGCACCACTCAAATCCCTCGGGCCCTCAGGTGGGAGTCCAGCCCTCCTAGATTATTTCCAGACTTTTAACAGACATGTGGGGGTAATACACCCCTCCAGGGACTGGCCTAGGAGCCTGCAATGGGGAGATCAGCAGGCTGGACAGACCTCAGGAAATGGACGAGATTCCCAGCCTTGCGGGGGTGGCAGGACCCTCAGGCAGCTGAAAATCACACTCCTCCAGGGATATATTTTTTCCCACCATTTTTTAACATTTTAGGAATTTTAAAGTGCAACCAACTCATTTTCTATCTCTAGCAAATCAACACTATTTGCTGAGTAATAGGAATTGTATGTTCAAAACTGGATGCAGTTCCTATGATTCAGAAAATTATTCCAATTTGATATGTTTTATTTTAAATTAAGTTTTTCATTTTAGGTTATTTAAATGGATGCAAATAAATACGCACTGACACAATTAAAAAAGATTTGAATTTTAGGCATGTGAAACATTGAGCTCTGGGGTTTTCCTTGTAGGATGAGGTGACAAATGAGCCCCTAAAAGCACACACGTCAGTCTACCTCCTTATGGTACCAGGTACTCACTGGTTGCTGGGTGACATGGGCAAATAACAGTATCTGTGAGCCTTCCTTTGCTCCTCTGTGAAATAAGTACAATAAGGGTACCTGCCTCTTAAGGCTGTTGTAAGGACCGCATGCACCTCTTTGGGTCAAGCACCCAGCACAATACCTGGCACAAAGCAGGTGCTCTTGGAAGATGCCAGCACCCCTGGCAGGCTGTGCCCTGTGACTCTAGTCAACAATTCTGTTCCAGTGACCCTCTGGGTCATGGTGCACTTCTGCAGTTCTTCTCATATCACCTTGCATTTTGTCTTCATGGATTTATAAAGACAAGTGAGAAAACTGAAAAAGGTAGGGTCCTGGCGCTAGTGGTAAACAGCAGGGGTCTGAAAAAGTTAATTTATATCCCAACTGGAGCAAGAAGAACAGCTTTGCAGTATGGAAAGATGCGTGGCCAGGTGAGAACCTGCAGCTGAGAGTTCTGACAGTTAACACTTAAGTTCATCACTGTGCAAGGTGGGAGCCACTGCCCACACGTGGCTGCTGAGCGCTTAAAATGGGGCAAGTCCAAGTTGACATGTGCTGAAGTGTAAAACACACACTGGATTTCAAAGACTTAGAATGAAAAGAGGAGTGCAAAATATCTCATTAATAATTTTATATTGGTTACATATTGAAATGACAATATTTTGGATTAAGTAAAATAAAATTCATTTGTTTATTTTTACTTTTTAAGTGTAGTCTATTAGTTTTCTGCAGCTGCCATTACAAAGTCCTACAAACTGGGTGGCTTAGAACAAACAGGAATTTATTGTCTTACAGTCCTGGAGGCTGGATGTCTGAGATCAAGGTCTCATCAGGGACGGTTGTGAGGAAACATCTGTCCCAGGCCTCTCTCCTGGCTTCTGTGGTGTTCCCTGGTTTCTGGCCTCGTGACTCCAATCTTCACATGGCATTCTCCCTGGGTCTCTGTCTCTGTGTCCCAATTTCCCCTTTGTATGAGGACAGTAGTCATACTGGTTAGGGCCTCCTAGTGACATCATCTTAACCAATCACATCTGCAATGACTCTATTTCCAAATAATATCACTTTCTGAGGTACTGGGGTTAGGGCTACAATATAGGAATTTGGGGAGGGAGGGACACAATTCAACCCATAACATAGCTACTAGGAAACTTAAAATTGCACATACAACTTCCTTTATATTTTGAGCGGACAGAGCTGGCCTATGTGATCAGTGAAACAGCGATGCCTGTTGACCTGGACTGGCTGAGGCTGTTGGGAAGTGCATATTCATGCATTCCATGGGCACTTATGAGGATTTATTACCTGATTCAGCACTAGAGGTCGAGCATGGGATACTTAACCGAAACCTCGCTCCCCCTCCAGGCACTTGCAGTTGACTGAGGGAGGCAGAAAACAGTCAATAACCACACAAATATTTAGTAGCAAAGTGCAGACAAATGATCCACAATCACTTGTCTGTGACAGACAAGTACAGGTGTGACAGTGTGGAACTCTACCTCCGCCCTGTGCTCCTGGAAACCAATGATGGTTGGGAACTCGCCTGCTCTTCTATGTTTGGGAAACGACTTCACCTATGACAAGGCCAGACACTGACCCCCAAATTCCCATTCTCTGTCTCTTGAGTGAGCTCTGGTCTCAGTCACAGAGCAGTGGGAGCCATGAAGAGAGCTAGGCAGAAGAACACGTTTGTCTGACTTACGTTTTGAGATGATCACGTTGTATCTCCTACTTCAACTCTCTTTCCACTTCTCAGTCTTTAAGGTCTCAGGGCGAGTCAGCAGCGGTCAGTGTCAGTGAGATTGTAGACGAATGTGTGCTTGGATGTACTGATACCCTGTGTGCCTAAAAGCCTTGCTACACCCAGGCTTTTTAGCTAACATTTTGTGAGTACTCTCAGTTTTTCATATCTTCCGGACACTGTGCTAAGCCCTTTACACACATTATCTTATTTAATTTTTACAACAACTCTTTAAAGTAGATACTATTAATACATTCATTTTGAAGAGGAGAAGTTAATTTGGCAAAGGGCCCACAAAAGTGTGGGATAGGGCGGAGACTCACAGCTAGATGCATTCTGAGTCTGAGTCTATAAAACCTACAATTCTTCAAGTTATTTATTTACATTATGTCTGTTTTTCTTGACTAGACCCTAAATTCTTAGAGGACAGGAGCTGAGTATTATTTGGATTTGAATCCCAAGCATGAGGTAGACGGTTATGGTACATGAACTTCAGCCTAGTGGATATTTAGTACTCGAACCCTCCAAGAGAAATGAGAAGAGTTCTGGTTGTGGGAGGAGCATGAGCTGAGGCCTAGAGTTGGAAGTGGGGATGGCACATGGGACTGGGGAGGTGGGCAGAGCAGAGACTTGCCTGAGTGGAGCAGTGGATGCTTGTTGGCGCTGATGGAAGACAGGCTTGAATGCATTGTAGGTACCTGGTGTAGTGGTCTGCATACCTAGAAGAGGACTTGTGAGTTTTATGCTGTAGCCATCGGGGACAGGGACATTGATGGCAGCAGAGGTGAGGAGTTAAGAAGGGAAACTAGGGGATGGCAGTCTGATTCCACTGTTAGAAAGCTTCATCTTAAGAGAAGAAAAGGGAAAGCGATCTTAGCACCTGTTTACTACCAAGTGTCAGTAAACTGGGTCCTGTTCTGCACAGGGCCATTCTCAGTTGTCAAGCCCTGAGGGGCATGTTAGGATGCCAGGGTCAAGGAGCTTTTGTAGCTTGTCTGATTTCATGGAGGTTGAAAGCATCGATGACAGAATTGGAGTACATATCTTCCTGACTACAAAGGGCATGTTCTTTTCAATGCAACACGCTCCCTTTGTTGGTGCTGTTAAAGTCCAGGCTTCTGGAAACCAAGAGAAATTTTAAATAAGTCTGTTGTATTGGTGTTTAAAAGTGAAACAAAAGACCAGGAAAATAGGTTAGAGAGATTAAAAGAAATAAGCCCATCTTTGTGGGCAGGGAAAATAAGGCCTCCATAGAACAAGTGTCCAGAATATTTCAGCTGTCTAATAGGCATCTCAATGGTTTATGTCCAAATGGGGGGTCTTGATTTTTTTTTGTTTCCCCAGTATGTTTTTCCCTAGTGTTCCCCATATCATAAGATGGTACCACTATCCCCCTGTGCTGATAAGCCAAAAGCTTGATAAAGAGTAGGTAGGGCCTTGCATTTGTTGGGGAAGTGGGGGCATTCCCACCCTCTTCCTTAAGGTTCTTATGGCTACTCAAATAACTAAAAAGGCAGGTTAGCAGGAGAAAATCAAACAAAGTTTAATAGCATGTGTACATGGGAGAAACTCAGGAAAAACTGAGTAGCCCAGCCATCTAGCCAAGTCTGCCTGTTTAAGTATCTTCAGCTACAGACAAGGAAGATATTTGGGGTAGTGATTTGGGGCTTCAAAGGGGAGGAAGGCAACTCACATGAAAATGGAAAAGCAAATGTTTGGTAAATAGAACTTGGATAAGAGTGGGCTTAGCAAGGATCCTCCCAGTCTACTGATACCCAGAGTTATCTATGGTGAAGGCTTGTCCTGGGGACAGGCCTTGATTTTAAATTTCTTTTAAGCACTTAGGCAGGGGAAGGTGGAATATTCTTCCTGAGTCGTCTTCTGAGTTTTTACTGTCTTCAGCTCGAAATAATCCGCATACCAGAGTGGCGCATCTTGGGGTGGCCTGCCCTGAACCCCATCAGTTCCCTCCTCTGAAACTTCCCTGGAAGTTTCACATATAAAAAGTTGAGCTGGTGACAGTTTGATTCACATAAAAGCAATGCTTTTCACCGATGACTGCACAGGCTCCTCCTTGCTGGGCATTCAGTGTATCCAGGGCATGTCGATTTTGGAGGACCACAGAGGCTAGGCTGCTAATCTCTGACTGGAGTGTTTTCAAAGTTTGCATGGTGGTGTTGAACTCTTGTTCCATCACCATGGAGAGATTTAAGATCACCTTTTCCAACTCATAATCTCCAAGGCTGGAGAATAAGACTCACTGCTGAAAAGAACTTGGAGTTGTGATACACAAGCGGATTCTCCATGATTTCCCGACTGACATGTTTATGTGGCACA